GCGGACCCCGCTGCCCTCCTCTCCCTTCCTCTCCTCTTCTCTCCGGTCCCCTCCCCTGGGGGCCGCCGAGGTTGTGCGGGCAGGAGCCGAGCCGAGCCGAGCCAGGCCGCGGCGCAGCGCCACGACCCAGCAGCCAGAGCGGCGGCGCCAGGCAGCGCGCGTCGAGCGCCGGCGGCGGGAGCCAGGCAGCGCTGTGGAAGGCCGAGAGCCGGGGGGGGGCGAGCGGAGAGGCGCGGGAACGGGGAGATCCCGTCCCACCCCACCGCTCCCCACCCCTCCGAAATGCCCTCCAAAATGCTCCGAGCCCTTAAAGCGTCTCACCCCCTTCCAGCATCGCTGCTAACGTTGGGTATAGCAGAGGGGCCTGGAGCATCTCCCCTTACGAGAAGAGGGTGAAGGACTTGGGTCTCTTTAGTCTGGAGAAGACTGAGGGGGGATCTGATCAACACCTATAAATACTTAAAGGATGGGTGTCAAAAGGAAGGGGCCGGTCTTTTTCAGTGGTGCCCAGGGATAGGACAAGAGGAAATGAGCACAAACTCGAATATAAGAAATTCCACCTAAACACGAGGAGGAACTTCTTTCCTTTGAGGGTGGCAGAGCCCTGGAAGAGGCTGCCCAGGGAGGTGGTGGAGTCTCCTTCTCTGGAGAGGTTCAAAACACCCCTGAATATGTTCCTGTGCAACCTGCTCTGGGTGGACCTGCTTTGGCAGGGGGGTTGGACCAAATCATAGAGTCATTCAGGTTGGAAAAGACCCTTGGGATCATGGAGTCCAACCATCCACCCTACTCTAAAGTTCTCCCCTACACCACATCCCCCAACACCACATCTAAACGACTGATCTCTGGAGGTCCCTTCCAACCCCATGTGATTCTGTGAGAAGTTGTTTTTTGGTTTGTTTTGGTGAAGTTTTTTTTATTTGTTTGGTTTGTTGTTTTTTTTCAAGTCTATCCCTAAAGAGTTACTTTTGTCTAAAATGGAGCAAGGGTTTCAAATGGCAATTTTACAACTTCAGAGTCATCACAACAGAGGTGGAGACAAACTCTGGCACCGGCCAATTATCCCACTGCAACGCGCTACAGCACTTCTGAGTTTTAAAACGCGTCCAAATCGTCTAGGTTCCAGCAGGACATAACCACATTTAATAAAGTTCGACCTGGTCTTCATGGCAGGTGTCCCTGCCCATGGCAGGGGGGGTGGAACTGGATGGTCTTTAAGGTCCTTTCCAACTCTAACCATTCTGTGATTCTAAATTTATATTCTGTACCATCCATGACATCCTGTTTTTGAATTGGGTTATATGCCCTGTTACTGTGATTTGTTGTTGAAAAAAAACCAGCCTCGTTAAACCATTTTTGCTGTTAGATGGTGGGGCCGCAGGACCTGGCCAGGAGGAGGAGAGTGAGAAACCAGCCCCAGAGCCAGCCCAGCTGGCTCTGGGGCTGGTTTCTCACTCTCCTCCTCCAGGCCAGGTCCTGTGGCCCCAACAGTAAGATAGAAGTGTTTACTTCTAGAAAACAGTAAGCGTATCTGAAGGTTACAGAAAGATTGGATGAAGATTATCCCCTGCTAAGATCCAGGAGGGTGCTTATATGCGCCGCTCTGATCTGTTCCCAGTAAGCAGTTTAAAGCTGGGGACGCCCAAGTTGCAGACTGAGGCCTGTTAAATAACTGCATTTTGGAGAATCACAGAATCACATGGGGTTGGAAGGGACCTCTGGAGATCATCTAGTCCAACTCCCCCACCAGAGCGGGTCTACCTAGAGCAGGTTGCACAGGAATGTGTCCAGGTGGGTTTTGAATGTCTCCAGAGAAGGAGACTCCACCACCTCCCTAGGCAGCCTCTTCCAGGGCTCCACCACTCTCACAAAAAAGAACTTCCTCCTCATGTTTAGGTGGAACTTCCTATACTCAAGTTTGTGGCCATTTCCTCTTGTCCTGTTACTGGGCACCACTGAGAAAAGACCAGTCCCGTCCTCCTGACTCCCTCCCTTTAAGTATTTGTATGCATTAATTAGATCTCTCCTAAGCCTTCACTTCTCCAGACTGAAAAGACCCAAGTCCCTCAGCCCCTCCTCGTAGGAGAGGTGTTCCAGGCCCTTAATCACCTTTGTGGCCCTTTCCTGTACCCTCTCCAGCAGTTCCCTGTCCTTCTTGAACTGGGGAACCCAAAACTGGACACAGTGCTCCAGATGGGGCCTCACCAGGGCAGAGTAGAGGGGCAGGATGACTTCCCTAGGGAAGAGGCAAGGTAGGTGTTTTCATTGAAGCCAGACTCAAGGAGATGATTAGAGGATGAGCTGCCACCACACTTGGGTGGCAGGTACTTCTGGGCCAAGGCTGCCTCATCTCCTGAAGGCAGAGAATCGTAGAATGGTTTGGGTTGGAAGGGACCTTAAAGATCATCTTGTTCCAACCCCCCTATGGAAAGAAGTGGTTTTCAGGCACTTCTTCATGGTGCTCAATGGACACACCAGTTGCAGCATCTGAAAGGCTGGCACATACGCAGACAGAGCAGGAGGAGTTAAAATTATTTGGGAGGTAGATCGGATCTTCCCACAGGCTAGATGTGGGCCGTGGACAAGCATACAGAAACTTTGCAGCTTTTTTCTTTGTTCTGCCCAAGGGAAAAATAACCAAAAGAATGATTTTTTTTTAAGGAAAAGAATACCTTTTCTTTCAGGGACAGATTTTGTGGAAGAAAAAAAAGAAGCCCTAAAGTAGCAGCGTTCACCATAACATTTAAGAGATCGTGCCAGTTCAGGTTAAATTCCATTTTGTCTAGATGCAGTAACCTAGTACCTGTAATAATCAAGTCAGGCTAAATAAGGTGCTAACCTCAAATGAAATTTATCACCATTTTTCCCACAAGCACATGACTGATAAAAGGTGCAGGTGGTGTGTTAGCACTGGAGAGCTATCGCTACGCCATACGGTAAACAAGCTCGTACATGCTCTACAGTAGGTGCAAATAAGGTCAGGGATAACAGGATCAGAAAACCAGACATCTCAAATCAGTCAGTACGGTTAGTGTGAACATATTAAAGTTCTGGAATAAAATCTTCCAGTATTAATTTGTTTTAAAATTGCTATTCAACACCTTCTTCATCGGAAATGCATGGGAAGAGTTAAAAAAATTCAGATGAAATCTACTGACACGCAAAATGTATCAGGTAAGGAAATGATAATTGTAAACTAAACGCTATATAGCACTTATAAAGGTCTGCTGCAGGACTGCAAGGGGAAAGCACGTCACACTTGTTTAACATCTAAACTGATAAGTAGCATCAGAGAAATATGTCAGTAGGCAAATAAAGACTAACCAGGTGCTAATGCACATTCTTTTTCGCAAATGGATGCATTAAAAGAGAACAAATCCAGCTCACGTTATTTGTACTGTGTGCTACAGTATCAGAATTACACTCTGTTAACAGAAGCACTACTAACCACATTCTTTCTGTCAGCGGCTCTATCATCCTCGGGACAGCAACTCTTTTATCACAAAGAAATACACAGCACTCTCCATGCTTCTTGTCTTTTAGCTGGTTCTAAACCAAGCAGCTTTTACAGCATCGATCTCTTCTATAACATGCTCCTGTAAGTCCAAAAAAGAGTAGGAGAGGGAAAAGACCAAACAGAAGTTAGGCTATGCAACCCCTTCCTTTCAGCTCCTTTTTTCCTAAATGAACCCATTAGAAAGAAGAAATAATACACTGTCCTGGTTACAGCTGGGACAGGGTTAGGGTTTTTTCTAGTAGCTTCTGTGTTTTGGGTTTAGTATGAGAATGATATTGATAAAACATTGTTTTAGTAGTTGCTACTTGATGTTTACATTAGTCAAGGACTTCTTCAGCTTCCCACAGAAGCTGAGAGGGAGCACAGACAGGACAAGCTGGCCAAAGGAATATTCCACACCATAGATGTTGTGCTCAGTCTACAAAAGAGGGTTGGCCACAGCGCAGGGATCTAGGATCACTGCTCAGAATGGGCTGGTGCTGAGAGTAACTTGTGGTTTATTACTTTCTTTTGTATATTTTTTTCCAATTTTTTTTTTCCTTTTCAGTTATTGTTCTATTAAACTGACTTTCTCTCAACCCAGGAGTCTGGGTTTGGTTTTTTTTCTCCCTTCCTTTTCTCCTTCCTCTCCCTGCCCTACTGATGGGGGGTGGAGGGAGTGAGCTAGTGGCTGCGTGGTCCTAGTTGACAAATGACAGTCCTAAAGTCTGTCACTTGCTGGACCACAGGGCCTTCCACAATACTCTGGCTTAATAGGCAGAGATGGCTCTCCTAAATGGGTGAACATACAAAACGATGTAGATTTTTACTAACTAGTTTCATTTGATATGAGACAGCATCTTCAGAAGGGGTAGGGGGAGGCAAACAGTAGCACACACAAAATTTGTAATGAAATATCTCTGAAGTCCTACCAAGGCACTTAAAATATTCCACTTTCAGGACTAACATTCTGCACGGAAAACGCTCCTCTCATCAAGTGTTAACACAACTATGCAAAATATAAAATTCACAGCATTCCAAAAGGTTTTATGTAACCACGTTATACTCATTAAGCCCTTCCTCTTTATTTGAGCCCTTAGTGTAAGAATGACTTAGGTCTACCAAATCAGAATGTCAATTGGTCTGAATCAGCCAACTGATCCCCAACCTCTGCAGGAGAGACGAGTCCAACCACAGACATATGAGGGAAACTGTAGCAGATGGACGTTCCGATTCCTTTTAACGGCAAGATTTTCCTCAAAAATTTCTCAAACAGTAATACACACCTTGATTAGTTGTTTCTACTGCTCTTCAATGGATAGGGTTTCTTGGTTTTGGTTTTATTTCCTCAGATTAGCTCTCGATTATAATGGTATGACCTGAAGTTAGATCAAATATCATATTCAAATTCTGGCACTTGAAGTATGTTATTAAGTTCATTTTTAAAATGTCTCCACTTTTTTTTTTTTTTTTCAATTTAGAAGCAGTAACTGGAGACAGGTAAACATGAAAAATAAAAAAAATATTTAAGTAATGTTTTGGGGTTTTTTTGGGTCATTTTGGTGAGTCATGGACTGTCACCTGGATAACCCATGTCCTCTATTCTGGGGCAACCTCTACTTATTTTTTGTACACAGACTGAAAATATTTAAGCCTTTTAAAGATCTCCCCCAAATAATTTTAAATACTACAACATGATTTCAAGGAGAAGCTACTTTAAGAGCTCACTCGTATTCACAACCAGGGAACATTCAAACTCCAACTTTTAGACTCCATCTGCTCCATCTGCTAACGCAGACAAGTAGACTTTTAAAAAAAGAACCCTGAACAAGTTCTGAGGGAAGTCTACCTTCTCCAGAGGAGAGAAGGCAGAGAAGCCAAACCGCCCACTCAGATGCCTGAAGTAAAGTTGACTACACCTCGGCAAGCTGGCTAGTAGTTCTAAGTTTTACAAGTTATGCAAAGAAAATGGAGGCAAGAGGTTGCTCTTTTCTAGTAATTGGAACTCTGAGAAAACCATTATCTACCCATTCACTTTGTGGATGCTCATTAAATTATGCAAGTACTTCATTTAAATCAGCTTTAATCAGCTACATCAAAGGCACTTGTTTCACTCGGAGAGAATTAATAAAACCTGTTATCCCAAAGGCAAACGGTGGTAACATGAGAGTGGCAAGCAATGAAAAGGAAAAATAAAATTAATTAAAAAAAGGAATAAAATAATCTGTCCTACAGCTATTATTCTTCAAAGAATCCCATTTCCAAATTAACAAACAGACATTCTGAAAACTTCTTGAGAGTCACTCCTTCACTTACACCAGTGGTCTCATACTGGATTTGATGAAGATTAATAGAAAGGTACATCATAATTTTTCACTATGCTAATTCTAGGCAACATTTCTCCTCACAGTTATCTCCTCAGGGATGCCAGGCCTGAAAGCAAATAGAAACCAAAGATGACTCAAAGTTTTTTATAAAATATAAACTGACAAATTACTTTGTATAGTATTGCATCTTTACTGTTACCAGCTATTCTTACATTCTTAAATTGCCACAATATATTCACGTACAGCACTGTGTCCGTCATTGGAGTCTTCAGCACAAGGACATGGACCTGTTGGAATGGGTCCAGCGGAGGGCCACGAAAACGTTCAGAGGGCTGGAGCACCTCTCCTATGAAGACAGGCTGAGAGAGATTGTTCAGTCTGGAGAAGAGAAGGCTCTGGGGAGACCTTATAACAGCCTCCCAGTACCTAAAGGCAGCCTACAAGCAAGATGGGGAGGGACTCTATCAGGGAGTGGAGTGATAGGACGAGGGGTAACTGTTTTAAACTAAAAGAGGATAGATTAAGATTATGTATCAGGCAGAAATACTTTCCTGTGAGGGTGGTGAGACACTGGAAGAGGTTTCCCAGAGAAGTTATGGATGCCCCATCCCTATAAGTGTTCAAGGCCAGGCTGGATGGGGCTTTGAGCAACCTGGTCTAGCGTGAGGCCTCCCTGCCGATGGCAGGGGGGTTGGAACTAGATGATCTTTAAGGTGCTTTCCAAGTTTTCTATGATTCTAAGTTTCTTCAGCATTTCTTCCCAGATAAGTCCAAGTTTTCTCTAGAGTTCCCCACTGACATATTTGAGGCTGATCAATGACGTACTAGTTAACTTAAAGAGCACGTGTAACTCCTGCCCTGCAAACTGCTTCTTTAACAAACACGTTAAGCAGTATGTATGCTAAACCTCAAAGGTTTCCTGACACTGCAGAACTCCCAGAGAAAGGTGGAGCAGTACCAAGTGAGAAGACTTTGTCTCTTCAGTGTCCTAGAATAAGGCTACTAGAAAGTATTTTTATTTCCCCTACCCATCAAAATTACTGCAATTTCCAAGAAAACAAGTTATAATAAAATTAACCCAGAATTAAAAAAAACCTAATTAGTACTTAGCATTCTCTCAATAAAGTAGCAAAACATATATTGATAAGTGATTCTTTTTTTCTTTTCTTTCCAATAACTATAAATCACCGTTCTGTTGTATTATAGCATCATGCACACATTACATATTTGCAAAAAGCCTCCAAAGTGCCTGTTTCACAGCACGTGAAAACTCGACTTCTTTCAGGTAAGTATGGAAAAAGTCTCTAGTACTTTCCCAAACACTGATTGAAATTTATTACACAATGATAAAAATGGAAAGATTTTACATTTTCCCTACTACAGAAATAAATTTCCGAAGTCAAGATTTCTTATCATAAATAAAATGAGAAAAGTAACTAAATTACATCTTAGATGTTTATATTAAATATAAATGGCTTATACTTCATAACACAAAGACTAAGTGTTCAGTATTTCTTTATAAAATTTAAGATACACAGGCCTTGTACATATGGCTTCATTAACATCTTAGACAGTTTGTTCTCAGTCATATCCATCAACACAAATAGCATTTCTACATAAAAGATGCATCCTAATGATTTCAATGAAGTGCAGTATACTCCATTAGAGAGAACATGTTTTAATTAACAGTTCTAATACCAGTTACAGTGTACAGTACTTTTACCAATCTACTGCGTTGTAATTATACAAGATGGTAGGAAGAGACCAAATCATATAGCCCTCACCACAGTACAGACCCCAGTACAGGCTGACTTCAAGAATGGCTGGAAGATTTGGCTTATAATACATCATTCAACATGTTTATTAAAAAGTGGGCAGCACATTCCAACAAGAAGTCAGACTTCTGACTGCACAAAACTGCAGTCAAATTTAAGTACCATTTTGAAATTAAAAAACTATTAGGGAGTTAGATACCCACGGAAACAAACTGATCAAAACTGCAGTTATTTTCATATCGATACCAATCGCAGGTTTGACAGACATCACCCCCTTTTGGGGCAACCCTAACATTACAAAAAATCAACTTTGTTATTGGACAATTTCATATTGTAGTTTATAAGAATAAGACACTCACATTTAGAACACTGACGGTCCAACTTCTCCATTTTCATAGAATATTATTAAACACCCCTGCCATCATTCAGCCTAAAAATACATGCAATTATGACAACAATCCCAGCATCAAATCACTTCAGGCAGTAAAGAAGTTGAGCTGTAAGATCATACACACAGCTTTCCAACCAGCTGGGAAGTTACAAAAGACAGGAGCTCAAGGTACACACAGTCATATGGGAGGAGACAGAAGAGGCTTCAAATACATCCTTGAAGTTTTCCTTTAGGTTCTGGGCTCTTTAACAGCCCCCAATGACAATGTACACATATACCCTTGAAAAAAACAAAAACAAAAGCAAAAAACCCCACAAACTAGAGGGGAAGAATTCTTTCTAGAATACAGAAATTTGGAATAAGTCACATTTACTTGCGTTTACTTTGGTAACACAGCTCTTTGTAGAAAAAGCAAGCAGCAAAACAACAGCATGAAAAAAAAATCTTGTTATGATAGCTGAATATTTGAACAAAGTCAGCACATAAACCATTTCTATAACAACATCTGAAAGCATCATGGAGTCGACAGTTGAAGCTGACTTGGATTAAAACATGTAAATACTAGAAACCGATCACAAATTGTGAACACAGTTCACCAAACTAAAGAAAGTGTTACGAAGGTAACACAGAATAAAGCTAGGACAGTTCTCATTTTAATATTTTAGAAATAATTTTTAAAGTCGTTCTAACAGAAGAAAGAATATATGAAATGAGCACAGAGTCAATCAGAAGTTGAACAAGATGGCTAGCCAGCATTTTCAACAATTTACAGAGTAAGAAAATTAAAAATAGAAGTTTGTGCCAAACTTTGGAAACATGCCAGCATTCAGGGAATTACTTACACAACGGGGAACAAGGACAAATCTAAAAACTAGAAGACATAGCACACAGTTTTCTTACCAAGTGTGCAATTCTGCAGGACTGCAAAATTAGCTAATGCAATTTGGGAATGACTCCAAGCTAGGACATACTGTTTTCTGAATACAACTTTGGCACAACTACAATAAGAATATTATGGTTTCTTCTGTGAACTAAATTAACTGAAATACAAATCGCCAGATCCATAGAACAGAGTGACTGAGGGAAAAGACTAATTAAACTTCAAAGTTAATAGGCATGCCCTCTCAACCACACAGATGGAATATCTAAGAGTGTTTCAACACCATTTAGAAAAAAACTTCGTTTCACTTCTACATAATTAGAGTTGTTTAATAATCCAGAGGGAAGTGGACTAGAAAAGAGAAACAGCTTCCTAAAAATGAAGTGCAATACATATAAAAAAAGCACTGAAAACTGAGAATTCACGCTAGGTGAATAAGTCAGATTTCTGGCAGCAGCTGTGTTAAAAAAGGGATAAAAAGGTGTAATTTTCCATTTATGCATTTGTACTGGCAGATGCCTCAGACATAAACCCATATATACTGAAAGAGGACCACTGGATTAAACTGGGAGAGGAGAAGGTACCTTAAATGCGGGTATGAAGTACAATGTTGACATGACAGATGCATCCAAAATAGGAATATTCCTTGCTTGGAAATATATTAGTTTAGAACATTGTTATACAGTATATTATATACTGAAAACTGTAGTGTATTTTTTAAACATTCCTAGTGTGGTGACAGCCTCCAAACTGTACAGAAGAATAGCAGCTCCCAGAAGTAAATTATGGCTCTTAATTGCAAAAACCTCTTGAGTGTGCATCAATTTCTGTAACCCAGTGCATCCTAGAATTTTAAGCTCCTGAAAGAAGAGACATTCTGCATCTTGCAGATTTATTTTTTTCCCCACAGTGGATCTTCATATTCCTAGGCTATACTGATCTAGCAAAATGTAGAATGATTTATTTGAAAATAAAATTATCTGTACTTTTTCAGAAAAAACTCAAGTCTCAACATGCAATAAACGAAAGTATTAGATGGTATCAATTTAAAGTTTAAGTTATATCCCAACTGAACTTCCATTTCCATTAAAAAAAAAAAAGCAAATTAGTTAATGTCTGCGTTACAGATGAGACTTCAACGATACACAAAACTATACAGCTGTGCTGTTTTCAATTAGTTACTCCAAAGCAGACAGAAAAAAAATCAAAACTGTATGCTGGAATTGCTCATGTGAAATACATCAACATTTCTACACAAATGAAAGTTACAAAGACTAAAGCACAAGATGAATATTCAGTATGAAAACAGGCGTTTTTAAATGAAACTCTAATCCTATGCAGTTCTTCAGAATTCTGTTCCAAGTCAGCATTTAATGTGAGTTTACAGTAATGAAAAAAAAATATATACAAAGATAATGAAGAACAAATGACAGTCTAACAAGGAATGAGTCCCTTTAGAATTTCCACAATATCTACTTATATGAAAAAAGTTAAAAATTGAGGTGGTTTCAATATAAGAAATATCTTCACTGACTTCCAGCCATTCTAGGAGAACAACCCTCCTTACCTGGAGTAAGAACAAACATTGAATATTTAAAGCTTGGTAACACTTATTCTACCATCATATGCCCACTATGTTACATGTGGTGTACTTTATGCATCCATTACATAAAGGAAATGTTTTGATATGTCTTCAGTGAATATGAAGAACAGACTGTGTCTCAAGTATAACTAAACTGGTCACATTTACATCACTCGCTTAAATTTAGTTTTTAATTACTTGTACAAATAGTTCATAATTCTGCAATCCAAAAAAAAAATCAGATGTCTTAAAGCAGTATGTTTAGGTTACATTCTGTCATTGTTACCTAGCTGCCTCATTCATATAGTTCCACCAGTGGATGATTAATACTAAAAAGATTATCATTTCCTGTACATGTGTATTATTTCATCCTCACCCTAAGTATAAATTTGCAACACAGTAGTAACACTGCAGGTATAGAAATAATGCTTCCTATCAGGGGTATGAAAAACTCTACCACAGTTGATGCTGGTGCATTTATATAGAAGGCTTCTCACACATCGTTTCAGTCTACGGGAGGTAGATGTTTGTCTATGAACTGTTTTACATCCGTCATCTCCTGTTTAAAGATAAAAGTATGTATTAGTTGGAGTTCCCTACTGATACACATTTGGCTACACTAAATCATGCTTCAACATCTCACTTATAATGAGCAGCTGGACTACAAATATTGAGCAATTGACTTGATAAAATCATACCACTTTGCACACAAGTCAAGGCTGATAACTCTTCAAGGCACTATGCACTCAGAAGAGGCTAAAATACAAGAAAACCAGCAAAGACTACCTTTTTTTTTCCTCTGTCTCTCTGAAGTTGAGCAGGCAAGCTACATACTAGTAATCAGATTATCTAAATAGCACCAGGCTGAGCATGGAGAGGATTTGAATGTCACTAAGACCGTAGCTTCCTGTACACTTTATAAACTTTTGCAAGTTAGCAGCAGCGTGAAAAGCCAGCAGCTCCTCCTCTAAGGAAAAGCAATACAGCAAACTAGACTGGGAATCCAATCCATGTTAAAATAGTTTAATTTTAACTTTTTTTTTTGGTAAGAAAGAGCACATTATTAATATATTTCAATCCTAAACACAATACACCTGTGTAAACGTCCCAAAGAAGCTGACCAAAGATACAGTTCTGACAAGATGCAGCAATCCAAATTAACAGAAGTTACTGCTGCTGACAAAGTGCAGATCTGTTCCTTGCCTCCTCCTCCTCTGTTCCTTGTTCCTACCATTTACTTTGTGTGAGTTCTGATGCTTCAACTCACTACGGCTGTGAAAGCTGAAGCTTTTGCCATGTTAGTAAAAGTTCAAATGGTTCAAAGAAGTTTTTGATCAGGTCCAGAGTTGGTCTGGAAGGAAGTTGGTTGGACGGAAAAGAGGGCCACAAGGTCACGAGCAGAGGGAAGAAGTCCACCCCTTTCTGGCAGCAGCAAGCCATGACATCAGCTCAGCTGCTTGCTGAGCCAGAACCATAAATATAGGTTCTGAGGCTGTCTCTTCTGTAGCGTCAACCCTCCCTCCCTACTCCTTCAATGCCTCCAGCCACAGAACTAACAGGATGCTTCTCTCCAAAATACCATGCTGGATTTATGCTGTGAGAATCTGCCTTTCAATTCAGTTATGGTTTGGTTCTGGGTATTTTTTTTAGTATGAAAATAACAAAAATTAGGAGAAAAGAGAGTATTTTACAGACCAACTAGCCTAGTCCCAAAAATACAATTTTATGAGAAAATTTCCACTAGTCACAAACTTTTGCCTTGGATGCTTTTTCAGCCAGGCATTCAGTCACTCACTAAAATAAACCGGTAGCATCAAGCACTTATTATTAAAAAAACACAAAAAACTAAACAGCAAAACAAACCCCACCAAAAAAAACCCAACTCAAATCCCTCCCCCACTCAATACATATTTGTTTTGAGGGATAAAAAATTAACCATACCCAGCTAAAACAATGTCTATTAAGAAACTTACCTCAACACATGAGCTATGCATCATGCCAGAGTAAGTCCTGAAGGTTACGTTGGCTGGATTTATCATACTCTTTAGCTTCTCAACAGTGAGAGAACCAAACATTAAAGGAACCAAGGGGTCACAGTCCCCATGGCACTGAAGAACAGCAATATCCTTGTTGACACCACTGATAGGGCCCTGTTAGGGGGTGGAATTTGAGGGGAGAAGAGAAGAAAGAAACAGTAAGTGGAGGTTAGATAAACACCTTCAAGCTAAAATAACCCCATGCCACAGTGCTCTGTGGCATGACAAGTAAGTTGAATTCTGAAGGAAAAAACCCCACATACTATAATCTGCAAGCTCCTTGTGAAATAAGTTCTGTGCTTGACAACACATTAACTTCAGAAACCTGCAAATAAAATTCCGGCACTAATTTCAGAACAGAATAACAGGATTTCTGGCCAACTAAAAAAGAAGTGATACTTTGTTTAAATATCTAGTCTCTAGTAAGATAGTGCCTTGCAGATGGAACAAATGGCAAAAAGAAAATTCATCTTCAAAGAAAATTTGCTGTATCCTTTAAGTTTCCCAGAAGTTTCATTTCAAGCAGAGACAGCTACTGAGTATTTCCTCATTTTCCTTACTTGCCAAACTCTAAAATTCCCAGGCCCTATTTTAAAAACTTTTGCGCTATGAAACAACAGTCAATATTCAGCAATAACAATGGCCCTTAATTCCTGCACAAGGTATAATCTTCAGATATACTCATTCCCCAAGTGCAAATTAGCTTAAGAAAGAAACATAAATACCTGAGGAAAAGAAGCCCGTAGGGGAAGCCAACAGCTGAGGGCTACAACACCTGCTAATTTTTGGTGTGTCGTAAGAGCTGTATACAATGATAAAGCACCTCCCTGAGATACAGAGATAGAAGTATTAGAATGGTGATAGAAACAATCCTCTTAATGCTTGTTTCAAGATCTCTGCTTTCTCCTTTAAAGGTCTTTTTCTATTCCAACCTCTTCTTCCTTACAACCAACTCTCAAAACAATATTCCTGCACAACATTTATTTTGCTTTCCCTCCCCCTCAAAGTCCATGTGATCAATTCAGAAGTAAAACATGATATTTACCATGACTAACAGCTGCAAGAAAATAAAAAACCAGGAACTAACATGAAATAAAGCACCATCACTCATTAAAGTATCATCACTACTTCAATATTTTAATTTATTTGCATGCCAACTGGTGAGTTGGTATATGGACTAATCAATCTATTAATCTACCTACCACGCATGTCTTACAAGTATGCAGGGAAGAATTTCCCAAATAAATCCAGAGCATCAAATATCTACCAAATTAAAGTTAAATTAAAAATACTAGCAAGATTTTTAAGTAAAGCTATGTAAGTTATGTCCATAAAGACTTTACACAGACTATTAATTTGAGTACCTTTTTTCTACATGCATGGTTATTTTCCAGTGCATAGTAATTATTTGCATTAAACTGCATTAAACTTAATTTGTTAAGGCAAAGCAAAGCTGATACCTTAACATTTTAGAAGCATCTAACATCATCTCTTTTCCAGTCAAGTGTCTGGATTTCCCACCATAGGAAAGCTATGTTACTTCCCTAGAAAAAGACATAGTTCTTTCCAATGACACCTCACCTGAGAAAAGCCTCCCAGAATAATTCGATTAGAAGGAATTCCATTTTTTACTTCTTGATCTATCAGTGCTTTAACTGCAATATAAATAAAGGCTAGTAGTTAAAACCCATTCAATTCTGTAGAAAGTTTAGAAGAGGAAAGAGCGCTTCCCTGCAATGTCAACAGAAAGCTAGCAAAAGGAAAAATCTAATCTGCTATACATTAAAAAGTATCAAAAAGATCTAGAGCATGATCAGAAATTCCAATGTCACCATATAATTTCCAAATTCCAAAAAAATACACAAGTAAGTCTCACAAAAGCCCCACGGTCAGGAAGGTGATATCCTCTTCTAACTATCCAGCATCACAAGTGGATGCTCGTGCAGCTCTAACCTGCCGTGCTACCCAGAAGCTCTTAAAAAAACAAACAATAAAAAAACCACAAAAAAAACCCCCAAGCACACTGGCTCCCATGTATATTTCATATTTGAGAGTAAGAAGTGTTTGTACTGGTGAATTACTCTACTTAGTCATGAAGCTTCAAAAAAACCCAACCAAAACGCAGAACAAACTATGCACTTAGGTAAACTTTGATCAGCAATAATACAATATATACATATTACTCTCCCTAACAATTTTGTCTTTGGAAAATATGTTTCTGACTGATAATTCATTTTTAAGCATACACAGAAGTACTTTTAAGACATACAAAATATTCCTAAGCATACCGTTCTCTGCTGCCTGCTTGATCCCAGCTTCATCTTCTTGTGAATCTGGAGAAAGTCCAATGATATCAAACCTTACAAAAATATCAACAAGAGCATTACTCATTAGAGCATCCATTCCACTTCCTTAAAACACAAATAATAAAATTGGGTTATTTTCCAGATAATAATGTTAGCTGACATATCAGTTAGTACCAACAACCCATAGTTTATAAGAAATAGTGGACAATCTGTGCATGTGGCTAAAAGGGTAGATCTAGTCAAAAAAGTTTTTCTGAGTTTTGCTATCTTCTGTAATTTACTGCAGCTTAAGCAGCTCAGTTTTGATATTTGCTCCAAAAATATCAGCAGGAATTTCAACTTATCAGCTGCACATACAAAATTAAAATACTGTTTGAAGAAATATAGGAAAACCAAACACAAGTCACTTGAGGGAGAAAAAAAAGTATCTTAAGAGGACACGTTTAAGACCATTGAAATCTACCCCAATTTTTCTTGCTTTTTATTCAGATCAGATATTCTAAAGAACAGTTTCTAGATATTCTACTGACCCACCAAAAATTACTCACTGGAAGCAATTACAACACGTAATTGCTCCACTCCCAAGTCTCTACTGCTACTGACTGTAAATTCACACACAATACAAACTATAGACCATAATTGTAAAATAAAGTGGGGTTTGAATTTAAGACATACAAATTTGTCCTGAGGAATAACCATTACCTTAGTACAGAAGGAATTAGAAATTAGAGCATATGAGAGCCTTTTTAGAAGACCAGAACTAAAGCAAAAAAGTTTTTATACTTACATCCAATTAAAACTAGCCATTCAGGTTGTTCATGATTTTTAATTAAGAACAATGAGTTCAAACCCCCAGATATCTTTTGATTAGAATAATCTGTAATTGAACAGATACTTACCACGATGGCATAGCCATGTTCATGTTCAAAGAAACAGGCATAACTGGCCTAGAAATGAGAATGAACAACACTGACATAAGATATATACTGAAATTTAATAATGCAGATGCAATTATGTCATGAAATTACATACCCTTAATTCTGTCTTATTTTTAAACCATAATTAACGTAAGCTACTTTGTAGCACCTCTTCAAGAAATCTCCCTTGAAACCTGCCAGCCCAAACACATTTAATGTTCAGAGCTGAATTCCACTCTCTATGGAGAACGAGCAAAACATTAGTGGCTGCTTTATGTAAAAATATATGTGAATGTGTGTGCGCATGGATAGCATCTACATATGAGAAATATGTGTATCACACACGTGTAGCTCATTTAGATCACCTCTGGCAATAAATTTAATCTACTGACACTGAGGAACATAAATTCTGCGGCAAAAAGACTGAAAGAGGACAAAGGGCAAGCAAAAAGAACAGCAGATATCGCTAAGCTCTTTTTGAATGGCTCAGCAAAGTGTGGCCATGTGGTAAAATAAATAAATAAATCACAGCCCAGTAACCAGTAATACACCAAAGCATTGCTTACTTATCTCCCTATCATCCCCACTCCATGTCTCCCAAGACTGCTGGAGCAAAAGACAATCTGAATTTTTCGTTAAAATAAATTAAGATTTTACTTAATCAGTTTTTCTATCATTAAGCAAATACTGGATAGATCTTAACGCTTTATTTACTGACTCCTGACCCTGCTCAGAAGTATTTCACTTCTCAAATTGCACAAAACCAGCTCAAATTGCATTATTTGCTGAAAATACAAATATCCTGTGAATCTTTGAACCTTGCTGTAGGTAACAGGGAAATTTCATCTACTATACATGCACCTGAGTTTAAGAAGTACACGTACCTAAAACAAAGTGTATTTAATGGCCAGTAAAATACAATAAAAAAAAAAATACTCCTTGTTAAGACTGGCTTTTAACAAATGACCGTTGGGGGAAAAAAGGAACAAACTCAATCCACCAAAAACATAAAAGTAAAAAAAAAATAATAAAAAAAAGAATATCTAAGTTTGCACATAAAACTTTCCAAATACATTTCCAGTCTAAATTAGTAATAAAGGCAAAATACAAATAAAAACGCAGTTTTGCCATAAGTAAATCACAGAGCAGTTCCTAAAAAATAAAATATTTAACAGCTTCAACATTAGTTTAGCACGATGCAGAGACAAATAAATCCCACTTGACTGCATCGTCTGTGCAAGTGTCTTAATAAGTAACTCTACACAAAAATGTAAACCAAGAAAAGTTACAAACTTACGCATGTGGGCAAATATATTTTACATGGGGGCTTTTGATACCTGCAAGCGCTTCCGACCATCCATGCCTGTTAACAAAAAACATTTTAAATGGCATTTATATTTTGGCTTAGCTCTTATTTCTACGTTGGCACAACAGCATAGAACAAGCATGAAATATGCTGAATTAGATCAATATAAAAACACTTCCAGAAAATTTTTACATCAACTGCAGTATGCTATGAGCACAGTACTAAACTTAAAAGGTTCTCTGAATATTTGTTGTGTATATACAGTCAAGGACACTTCATCTCATTTGACTACCATAGTTGGGACACAGCTGCAGAAACACCAGTTTGGCTCTAGGCAAAGCCTGCTCTGTATCTGCCTGGGTTTTTTAACTTGGGTGCTACAACATCTGAACACGGGCATCCTGCTTCCAGGCAGCCCTAGTCCAGAGGCTGCTTTGCTGCTCTGATAGATTTAAGTTTGCAGCTTCTTTCACAGCCAATTTTGCTTTTTCTGAACCAAATTTCTTGATGGGGGAGAGCAAGGAACTGACACCTAAGCTGACTCCACACGGTGCCAACCTAATCAGTCAGACCTATTAACTTCAGCTCAGCTTGAATGCTCTCAGGCTCAGGCAGTCCTGAACAACACTCCACACTGCAGGTAGTTTTTTAATCTCAAGCACGTGCCAGATGAATGCACAGAACACCGTGAGATCTGCACAGCAGATGAGTTATCAAACTTCCTACAAACCAGGAAACTGAAAAGCATAATTTAAATAAACAGCTCTGAAAGATTCACACTCTCACCTAGACATGAACCGAGCTGGACCCAAATCTGAACCTCTGCAGAACCACTGCCTACACCCACACTTTGCTTTCCAGAACACTCAATAGTACCTGTATTTTCTGATTTTTCTCATTATTCAGTACTCCTAACGCACTCACTAAACTAGAGACTGGAAAATTGATTCTAAGCAGAAAACACCTGTAGCAAATTCAGCAGTGACACAGCTGAAGTAATCAGACCAAGAGCAGACAAGCCATAAAAGCCTGTTTGGTTTAGTTTTAACATCAGCCTGAAAAGTTAAGGTATGCAGCCTAAAGTTAAAGACATTTCAAACACATAGCACAGACATTTAAAACACTGTATCTCAGCCTACTTCCTAACAATACTTTTATATATGCAATTAACAAATTGTGGGTGATATTACTTGTGTAGTATTTGCCACAGAAAGCCAAATATGAATCTACAGGAGAAACACGACTGAGAAGAAACTAGTTCAATATGAATTTGGGGAGGATTTTTAGCCAACTATAATGATTAATTTGACACATTTGGAAAGCAACATTGTATACACATTTATGCAGACTCTTTAGAACAATCCTCTATGTTGTACCTTTGGTTCACATTTTGACAAGTATGTACCAATCTTTAAGTGCCATTTATATAGGAGCTAAGAGAGAAAAAGAACATAACCTCTGTTAGACACCTCTCAGAGAAAGAAAAACATGGTAAACTGAAGTGAGCAATTTAAAAATTAACTTGAAGTAGAACAGGTCAGTTTGAACTGTGGGAAATTACAAGACTGTTAATTAGTGCTCCTCAGACAATTCTTTTTTGGGTCATTACTACGTTTTTGGGGGAAAAAATGGCAGTATGTCAAAGGCAGTTTTAGCTAATCTGATCTGCAGTGGACAAGAGGAATAAATACAGTTAAATCACTGTGTTATGACTTGTTAATGCATACATTCCAGTATGCTCAGTGCATTTGCAAGCTTGAAGACTGCATGTTAGCTTTGTCATCAAAATGGAAATACCACATTTGTATAAGAATACAATGTATTTTAAAGAGTATTTTAAAGTCTTTTTTTTTTTTCCCCCCCCACTTGCCAAAACCAACATGGACCTAATTTGCAAGGACTCAAATCCCAAAGACTCAAAAGATTCTGCAATCACTTGCTGAACGTTTGGTGCCAAGATGCAGGAAGCACTGCTGCCTCAGCTGCCTCCTACCAGCAGGAAGGGACAATGCAAACAAGGTGCAAGCATCTCCACTTGTAGAAATACTGCCAAGTGCATGGACTTGACTCTTTTTAACTTATTAAATGTCCAGGTTACACAAGTTCAACTCTGACAGTGAACTTTTCTTCTTAGCTCTTCAGAAAAAGTTTATATATTAAACACTGCCTGTTTCAATCTAGAAGCAAAATTAAAATTCCAGGTAACAAAAATGGAGTTCTTAAAAAAAAATAAAAATGTAATTTTGCCCCAAAGGGTGCACAATAGACAAAGCATTCATGCTATTTATTTTCAGCCTCTAAGTGCCAATTCCTTTAAAGTCACCTACCAAAAAAAAAAGTTTCAACATACCCCTAACTTGTTAATTCAATGGCTTCACTGAAGGTATGCTTGTATCTCAGCACACACAAGCTTCAAAAGGAAACATTACACCACACTTACACCACCTTCCAGAAATTGCCTATCTTTCCATTTCTACTCACAGTGGAAATAACAGGAAGAAGGCAAGCAGGTTATTTCACAGCTTGTTTGGTTGGGGTTTTTTTTTGGATTCTGAAGACCATATTTCAGAAAGAAACCTGTAGGCATTAGCTGACTACTTAGGCATTTGCTTAGATAAATCAAGTAAGCCTGGATTTTAATGTAAGTGTGACATAGTTAAGCGTGAAACATAATATGGTCTAACTGCACCTACAAACAAACCAGCAATCCACAAGTCCAGAAAAAAAGAGAACTCTACATTTAGACAAGCATGGGACTAACCAGGAACCCACTTCTTGGGAAAACGAAAGATCAGAAACCTACAGACATTGTTTTCCACCAAGCTTGACTCAAGAACAAGAGGGCTCACATCCAGACCAAATGAGGTAAGTGAAAAGGGAGAAGGAAAAGCTTTTGAGGAATTATGCTGGGAAATTTTAAATAATTAGCCGTCACCATCATACCCACATGTGTGAAGTTTCATCTGTTCTAAGGGACCGCAGTCAACTAAGGGCAAAGTAAGAAGCTTAAGTAACTTTTAACCGTTCACATCTTTAAAACGCACAGCCTTATATTTGAAACTATAATAACTGTTAAGTCTGTAATCGGTCAGAATACACACCCAGTATCTCCCAATCCGTGAAGAAAAATGACCTAAAGGGAAAAAGGAAAAAAAAAACAAAACCAAAAATCACACCAAATAAATGAAACCCCAACGTAGTAGTGTAAGATCACTAAACTGTGAACGCACTTTCCCCGCACACCAGACGCCCACGCCAGATCTCACCCCACTCCGGAGCACCACAGGAGTTTCTCAGAGGAGAAAACTCGGCTGGGCTGCCCCCTCGCTTCCCGCCCCGGGCCTCCCTCCCCGCCGCCATCACCGGGCCCACCCCGCCCTCCGCCGCCACACGGCGCCGCCGGCCCCCGTGACCTTCCCCTGCCCGGCGCCTCGCTCCAGCCGCCCGCCGAGCGGGATCCCGCTCCGGCTCTGACAGGAAAAATAACGGGACGGACCTGTCAACCCCCCCCCCCTCACAGCGGCCCGTCCCGGGGGTGCGCCACCGCCCCGCGCCCGGGGAGCCCCGCACACACACTCACCCCCCCCTGCCCGCCTCGTGGGCCATCCCCGGAGCCGATTGGCTGCCGCCGGGCAGCCGGCCCGCCCGCCCCTGAGGTAAAAGGTTAACGTGGCCCCAATCGGCTGCGGGGCCCTGAGGCGGCCACGAGGCTGAGGGGAGGTGTCGCCGCCGGGCAGCCGGCCCGCCCGCCCCTGAGGTAAAAGGTTAACGTGGCCTCCGGGGAGCCGGATCAGCGAGCCTTGGTGCCTCCTTCGGCTTTCTACCTCCCTTCCCAGGGGTGAGGCGGCGGCGGGAACTGTGATCCAGGCAGGCGAGTGGGCGCTGCGGCCCCCTGGGGTGTGCCGGCGGCAGCTAAGGCCTTGCTCAGAGGAAACCCCTTAGGGGGAGCCCCGGCAGAAGTGGCAACCTGTATGGCAGGGTGGCAAGTCTGCATATGCTGCTTAAAAGGCGGGCTCTGTAAAGCTGGTTCTGGTTTTGGCTTTCCAGGGGTTTCAGAGAGTTTGAGCTGTCATAGAATCATAGAATCATAGAGTCATTTAGGTTGGAAAAGACCCTTGGGATCATCAAGTCCAACCATCTACCCTACTCTACAAAGTTCTCCCCAACACCATATCCCCCAACACCACATCTAAACAACTCCTAAACACACCCAAGGATGGTGACTCAACCACCCCCCTGGGCAGCCAATTTCAATGTCTCACTATGTGAAAAACTCTTTCCTAATGTTGTTTAAACCTACCTTGTTGTAGCTTGAAGCCATTCCCTCTTGTTCTATCAATAATTACCTACCTGTCTTTCACCTTTAAAACTACCTTTCAAACAGACCAGATATATCTGCCGGATGATACTGCACTTTTCTAGTTTAATTTGTACATGTCTATGGTTTTCAGCGTTTTCTGCAAAAAACCTTTTTTTTTTTACATTTTTAAATCATTTTTATGCTGAGGCTTAGGGGCAAGGGAAATTACAGTATTCTTAAATAGGTAAATATTAAAATAGTAATCATGGGAAACAGGAAAACCAGCGAACAGCATTGTTAGACAGAACTCATTTGTCCTCATCAGATCAGATGCCTTCATCACCAAATTAAATCTCTTGGCTTGCACCCAAGGAGTCAATGGTTCTCATTCATCTTGAAATGTATTGGGCTATTCAGGCACTCCGTATTGAAATTACTGGATCATTCCAGTCCATCCCGAACACTTAGACCAACTCTGAGTAAATATGGCAAACACATTTCTATCAAAATGAAATACTTTGTTCTTTGTCTTCTATTCCATACATCTTTGTCAGATATTTCCTCCCAGAAAGTCAATCTACTCAATGTATTTGCCGGGTGGTATCTGGCTAAGACGGATGCCTTTTTGGGCAGCTCAAACAGCAGCTGAATGCATGCTATACTTCTTTCACATCCTTCCCTCTGGCATGTTCCATACCAGGCAGGGATGTGTTTTTTCACGAAGCTTTTGCTCAACAATGTTCATATTTTTATCAGCATGGCTGCATAGAATATATCAGAGGCGCCTTTGCGCCAAACTGTGTAACATGAAACATGCAGCCTCTTTTGCCATGATTGTTAGGCTGCCTTGATACATAGCACTTATGCTGGGGGATCCCTGTTATTGATGAAATTGGGTTGTTTTACTGGGCATGTTTATCCTGGAGAAGAGGAGGCTGAGGGGAGACCTCATTGCCCTCTACAACTCCCTGAAAGGAGGTTGTAGAGAGGTGGGGGTTGGCCTCTTCTCCCAAGGGAATAATGACAGGACCAGAGGAAATGGTCTGAAGTTGTGGCAGGGGAGGTTTAGATTAGATATCAGGAAGAATTACTTTACTGAGAGGGTGGTCAGGCACTAGAACAGCCTGCCCAGGGAGGTGGTGGAGTCACCATCTCTGGAGGTACTTAAGAAATGTGTAGATGGGCATGCTCTAGTGCCCGAGATTGTTGGGTGTGGTGATTGTTGTGGTGATGGGGTGTTGGTGGTTTTTTTGTTTTGGTGTTGTTTTTTTGGTTATTGTTGTTGTTGGGTTTTTTTGTGGTTGAAGTTGATGATCTCAAAGGTCCCTTCCAACCATGAAGATTCTGTGATTTTCACAGGTAGCTTTTTGTGTTTTGATAGCTATCATAGGAGTGATATTTTTCTATCCAAATTCAAGGTTCTGCTTAAAATAGTGAGAGCTTTACAAGGCAAAGCATGCTCTAAACTATGCATTTTTCCCTATCCTAGTGGCTCAAATGCACTTAGATACGATGGCTGTCCATACCAGTATTTCAAGCGTATTGTTATATCGTTATTTTTTTTAATTTTTTTTTTTTTGACGGGGGTAAGAAGCTTGAGAGTTGGGCCCATGTCAACCTCTTGAAGTTCAACAAGGCCAAGTGCAAGGTCCTGCCCTTGGGCCGGGGCAGTCCCAAGCACAAATACAGGCTGGGCAGAGAGTGGATTGAGAGCAGCCCTGAGGAGAAGGACTTGGGGGTGTTGCTGGATGAGAAGCTGAACGTGAGCTGGCAATGCGTGCTGGCAGCCCAGAAAGCCAACCACATCTTGGGCTGCATCAAGAGAAGTGTGGCCAGCAGGGAGAAGGAGGTGATCCTGCCCCTCTGCTCTGCTCTGCTGGGACTTCATCTGGAGAACTGTGGACACTTTGGAGTCCTCAGCACAGGAAGGACATGGACCTGTTGTAGCAGGTCCAGGAGAGGACCACAAAGGTGATCAGAGGGCTGGAGCACCTCTGCTATGAGGACAGGCTGAGAGAGCTGGGGTTGTTCAGCCTGGAGAAGAGAAGGCTCCAGGGAGACTTTACAGAGGCCTTCCAGTGTCTGAAGGGAGCCTAGAAGAAAGCTGGAGAGGGGCTTTTTACAAGGACATGTAGCGATAGGATGAGGGGGAATGGTTTTAAACTGAAAGAGGGGAGACTTAGTTTGGATCTCAGGAAGAAATTCTGTGCTGTGAGGGTGGTGAGACACTGGAACAAGTTGCCCAGAGAAGTTGCGGATGCCCCATCCCTGGAGGTGTTCAAGGCCAGGCTGGATGGGGCTTGGAGCAACCTGCTCTGGTGGGAGGTGTCCCTGCCCATGGCAGGGGGTTGGAACTCCATGATCTTCAAGGTCCTTTCCAACCCAACCCGCTCTCTGAGCCGCAGCTGTACGGATTTCATGCTGAAAGCCACACATTTCTAATTTCCATTTCACCTTTCTTTACTCACAGAACAGACAGAGCCGTTGTGTGACTTTTTCTCCAAGACGTAATCTGAAGCGGGCGTTCAACACAGAAGGAGGTTTTGGTGAAACAGACGTTTCGGGACTGAAAAGCGGGACGTTACACCCAAAAAACACCGGGAAACTCTCTCAACGGGAACCGGCCTTTCCGCTCCGTGACATCGCCGCCGCAGCGTAACTCACCCTCTTCCTCACTCCGCTGAGCCTGCACCCCCTGCGCCAGACCCACATACCGACGGAAACTGCTGCACGATTTCCCAGTAGGTCCGCTTTTTCAATTAAAATATTAAAAGCGATCAAGTACTGCAGCCGCGCTCCCAGGGAAGGCTCGAATAACAACGCGCGTTCCCGCCCCGCCGGCGGGGTTGGCTGCGCGACACTGTTGCGAAGGCGCGGGAGGCGCGCTTTACAGTTCTGCCGTAAAGCAGCTCGCCCAGGCGCGCGCCGCTGCCGCCCTTGGGAGGTGAGCGGACATGAGCGGGAATGGTGGGACCAAGGCCCTGGAGCTGTTGCGGTCGCTGCCCAGGGTCAGTCTGGCCAACCTAAGGCCCAGCCCAGGCTCCAAAAAGCCGGTGAGTGCCTGCAGCTTGTTGGGTGAGTCGTGGGTATGCTTTCCCTCCGGTAGGACTCTGCCTCGGCAGCGGGCACAGCCGGCCCTGGTGGCGGTTGCCTCGGGGGCTGTTAGAAGACCTTCGGGGAGGCTGCGGCAGGACCCGAAGAGTGGCCTCTCCCGAATAGGTGTAGGAAGGCTGAGGAGTGGGTGGCAGCGTTCTTGTCCTTTGTATGTCTTGTAGCCGGTGCGTGTGGCCATCCCCACAGAGTGGTGAGTGGCTCTGGTTAAACCCCAGGGCCATCACTGGGGGACGGGCAGAAACAGTAAAAAAGTATGGAATACAAAGTGTTTATAGGATGGTATAATACATTTGAAAAAGGAAGGTTGAAAAGGCTTAAAAGAAAAGGAATGTGATGTCAGACAATGCTTCTTGTTACTGCTGCTTGCTGTCTCCTTGTGAAGTGATAGAGGAGTAAGGAAAAGAAACCCACCTAGTTTGGGGGAAGTATAATAGGAATAGAGAATTGACAGGGGGTGCGAAGCAGCGCTTCCCTGTTAGTGCTCAAAGCTCCCTATAGATGCCAGTAGAGCTGGTGAGCACAGCATAGTTGTAACCCCTTACACCTGTGACAAGATAAGAGAACGGAAATTTCCCCCCCCCTGCTGTCAGGTTACTTCATTTGGAGCTGTGAATGCCCAGCTTGGCCAGGGTAAAGCGGAGCTGGAAGAGTCAACCCCGTGCAGCACTGGAGTGGTGATTCTTAAGGTCTTTCAAAGTAATCCAGGCTCTAAAATGGTATTTTCAGGCTTAGCATCCAGAAGTTTTGGGGTAATCTGAACTTGAGTTTTACTAGAACTGATGCTTTCCTGCCAGTGTTTGGTCTCAGGACTTTTTGTTTTTCAAGGTAGCTGTTGGGTTTAGGAAAACACTTTTTTTTTTTTTTTAATCTTCAGAGTAGAGATTTTTGTATGCTCACTGGGTCTTTAGCAAGTAACTTGCAACTCCATTTAGGAAATTTTTCTCCCCATGTTACTGCTAACTCTTTGCCTTCAGTTAGAGTCTGTACACATGACCTCAGCTCTGTTTCTTTGGTATTTTTTGGTGTCTGACAACCTTATTCTGTCATTAGTGAAGTTCTCAAATAAACAGATATAAGATATTTGACTTCACAAACAGAAGTTGCAGTAAAAAAAAGATAAATTTTTGATTGGCTCCTCTGACAATCTAAAATCTGGTCTGTGTACTGATTAAATTCCATTTGTGACCAGATATTGTCAGTGTATTTGTATTAATTAAAGTCACCATGCAATTTAGTGTGTGTATGGGCAACTGCCAGAAGGGGTGAGCCGGCTGTCCCCTCCCTCTGCCTCCAGGTGCTCGCACCTGCTCTTTATTTTGTACTGCTACTAGAGGTTGTTCAGTGGATCAGAGCAGGGAACTAAACCAGATGAAAACTAGTTAGACAAAATTTAGTTTTTATATAGTTTAATTCCCTGACCTATCTAACACGGAGCCACACAACTGCTTGTGTCAGCCCGAGAGGCACTGTGAGTAAAGAAGCACAGCGTGTGGGCTGGGGACAAGCCAACTTCCTTTGAAGGCAGGAATAGTCCAGACTAGCATAAAACTGCACTTGAACTCTATACTATTTAGTTTTAATACAGGTAAATTGTGCATCTTAGATGATGTTTCAAGTATGTTAATGCATTTTTTTCTGATGTATGTCCAGACAGACTTTTATACCAATATTTCAGTGCACATTAGGTGCTCCATAACTTTTAAAAACTTACAAACAGAATAAAGAGCAGAAAACATCAAATTTCATGTCTTTGTGCTGTTAGGCTAATATTGAGCAGTTTTCAGAACTGAGTTTTACTCAATATTCTGTGCTGCAGTCTTAACTGCATAGATTGATTTGTAGGATTAGGGGTGCCTGAGGTGTGGCTATCTGAGTGTTGAATACAAAAAATGAGACATTGAAGAGGCTTACTGTAGTCTCTTTAATAATGAGTTATTTATATCATTAATCCATCAGTGACTATGACTTGATCATCAGTTAGCTTATAAGCAGTGCAAATACTGTTTAGGATGTGTTGCTTTACGTGTCTCCCAGCCTGACTGATTCGTGTTGAGAAACACAATGGAAAATAGCAAACTCGTGAATTGTGTGTTGTGCAGATATGAGACTAGTTAGTGACAAGACATTGCTCCTTCCACATGCATTCACACCCCACTGAATGTTAGCTTAAATGGGAAAAACTTCTTAAGACAAATGGATCTATCAAAGGATGTACAGATGTGGTTGTGTCTCTTGGAGCCAAATACTGAACTCAACCCCGTACAGCACAGCAGTAGGGATTCTGAAGCTTGTGGCTCTCTTATCCCTGATAAAGTGTTGGAAAACTCAAAGTGAGCCTTAGTGTTGTAGATCCTTTAGTATATGAATTAAATGAAGTCACCTTACACAGAAAGCTTTATTTGTTAGGTCAGAGTAAGCTGGCACATTTAATAGCAGTCACCCTCAGCTGCTCATTTCCAGCCTTGCTTACTGCTTGTATTGTAATCCTACAGATATTTGTGTACCTATGGATTGTACTGAATGGTGCAACTGACCTGGGTTTAAAATTTAAAAAAAAAAAGTTTTACCTTTGCTTATCTCTTTGATCCTGTTCACCATTTAGCTGTGCAAGTGCTTCTGCTGGCACAAATAGGTCAATGAAAGAAGATGTAGCTGTTTATGGCTACAATGCTAATTTAAAGTGCTCAGGAAACTAATAGCTTAGGATCACAGTTTTAATTTTAAAAAATAATAAAGGTTTAAAATACAGTCTTCTCTTTCGATTCATAGTCAGTAGAAATTGCAACAGCTGCAGACTCTTCAGAAAGTCTGAGTCCGTGAAAAGAATTATATGTTTGCATGGCATATATAGTCTGTTCCACTGCCCCTTGAAGTAGAATTTTGGGGTTTTTTTTTAATTTTTATTGTCACTGTTTGGAAACTTCTGAGCAATGTTCTTATGAAAAAGGAGGAAATATCAATAGTTAATCCAGGAAAATTCTCTAACTTTCAGAGTGTAAGAGGTAGGATTAAATGCTAGTATTGTGTTCAAGTAAACTTTCAGACTATCTATGGTGCTTTCCTAGAGATATGATCTGCAAAAATATCATGTTAACTGCTTTTCTGACTATTTTTCCATTAGAAAAGAGGTATTATTAATTTTTCCTCGAGAATCAGCATTTTGTTCAGTTGTTTGTCTATGAAATCTTATGTTTTATAGATACTTATCTTCAAAGTAGTTGACTAAATGTATCATTGGTTGTTTTCAAGGAGAAAAGGCGTGGCCGTGGAAGACATGGAGGTAGGAAGTGTGGTCGAGGTCACAAAGGAGAAAGACAAAGAGGAAATCGCCCCCGATTAGGCTTTGAGGGTGGTCAAACTCCATTTTACTTGGCCATACCAAAATACGGGTTTAACGATGGACATAGGTAAGTTTCTTCACATTTACTGAGAGATCTAATCGTTGTCTGCTTTTCTTGATCTTTCTCCTGAAGCCAGAATCAAATATGCCAAAATAGGCTGAACTGAAAATGAGACATTCCTCTCAGATCATTAACTTCCTTACTGGCAGAATCTCCCATTTCTTGTGAGATTATTTTTTTAATGAATTCTTTTATTTTCTGTTATGTTACAGCTCTGCTTGTTTGCCCTTTTCTTTGCATGATCCCTTATATATAGCAGGTTACCATTCCCTCCTATGGCTGTGTGCACTTCTTCTCTCAGACCCCCGCTCCATACATGCTTGTGCTGCCCTTTGCCTGTCTGCACAGCAGGTATCCTGTTGAACTAAATTGACTCAAGTGAGGGTATTAAGCATGGAAGTGTAATCCAAAGCCCTGCTTTGCAATTCCTCTTTGCTTTAGTCACTAAAGCTCTGATCTGTTGCTAACCAAACAATTCTGCTTCTCTTTGCGACTGTACTTTTTTTTAGCCCCACAACACTGCAGTCTTTCTCTGTCTGCACTCCATCTGTTCCACCTAGAATCTCAGCAAGCTCTTTAATATCAAATCTCTTGGATGAAGTCATTAAGTCATCTTTCACAATTGTTCTTCTCAGACATCCTGCCTCGTTTTACGTGTCTCTGCCCTTTCCACGTGGTGCTTATTTGTGCTGTGTCCTTCTTTCAGCTTTTTAGTGTTTATAATAATTCTTCTAACCAGTCATTGTTTTTAGCTGGAGTTTGCCAGTATTTTATTCATTTCCTTCACTATATTGACAATTACAGTTTTGTTGTTGTTTAGAGCTGGTTTTGTTTGCTAAGATGGCATGTATGTTACTTCGGTCACTGACCATTTTGTTGCTTTTAGATATGGTCATGAAAGCATTGTTTGGATACAGAAGTTTATTACAGGCAGGAGTAACAAAGATGTGCCACACCTAGCGGACAGTTCAAGAATGAAAAGACTTACATGAATTTATTTGTGAATTGCTAAACTTAAATTTTGATTTTATTATTAATTTGCTGTTACAATTTAATCGAATAGCTGTGCAATTTTTATATTTCCATTCTTTATGCATACAGTATAACCTACAGACCTGTCCTGATTATCAAAGGTTTTCTCTGTCAGTCTTACTAGCTTTGAAGTGTGATTCGGACTATATTTCCAAGTATTGTCATTTCCTCCTGTTTGTTAAACAAACTTATTATAAGAGTAAATGAGAAGCACTTTTGATAGCTGAAGACACAGGGTAGATCTGCAGTCCCACAAAGGAACTGCTGCAGAATGCAGGCACTGAGTTTCTTATGTTAACAGTGGTCACAAATTCATGAATAAACAACAGAAAAAATCCAAGTTTCTTCAGTGACAAAATATTAGTAGGGTCTTGCTGTTTTTAATCACACCTGACAGCACGTGGAAACAGAAGTAGTCTGTAAGTTCTTTTCAATGTTGTTGGCAAAGTTTCATTGCCAGGTTATTGTAAATGTTTTTCTGGTGAACGCTCTAAGTGCACTTGAGAAGAGACTGTCATGGCAGGGTGGGAGCGTGCTGAACAATATCTCTGCCTCTTTATCTCCACCTCTTTTCTTTGTCTTCACTTTTTACTTCTTTCTATCTCCACTTTCTGCCATGGTGTTCCTCTACTTTTGAACTTTTGGTCTGTTAGGAACTGTCTGACAGTGCAAATTCTGTTGTCTTACTTGTCAATAACAAAGATAAGCTTCTCATTTTTTCTTCTGCTACCACTCACAGATTTCTAATAGCAGTGGTTAAATTGATTGTATGAGAAAGTTTTGAGCATCCATGTAAATGATATGCAGTAGGCATAGACACTGGGATCAGGAAAGCTATTCTAAGGATTGGTTTGTATAGTAAAGTTATAACTTCATAAAATACCAAAGTGGGTTCTGCTAAAGCTGATGTCTATTGGCAAAATATTCCAGTTCCCTTTGGCGATATGAGTTAATGCATATTTTCTCACTATTTCTTTCCCTTGGTGCTATTTTGGGGAAGATTCTATTCAGTTCTTGTGAGGTGTCAGGTACAGTGGTAATGGACTGAAAAATCTTACTGGCTATAGGCAAGCTATGCAGGAGCACACACAGCATTTGGCTGGTAGTCTTTGACTAAATTCATGTGGGAGGGGAGGGTATATTTGATTTTGACTGTAGTTCTTGTCACATTTTCTGAAATGTAGAAGTGAAGCTACCACCCAGGATTCACTTTGAAAGTGGTAGTTATTTAGAATCTTCTTGACGTACCAAGAAATGATTACACTTTAATTTCTTCCTCTTTTTCTTCTTCCTTAAACCAATGAGTTACTCTGGAGTAAATTGAGCTCAGCAACAGCAAAATAATTAAAGTCATATTGGAGGTGGGGTGCATGAGGAAGCTTGAATGTGTAATGAGTCTTGGGCTGTAACTACGGCTTGTATTTGCATTAAATTAAACTTGAAATTTTGGTTTATGGATGGGTCTGGTTTAAACATTGACTTGGTAGTTTTAGGAGTAGGTAAAAAATGGAATACAGTGTGCTGTATCTCAGTTGACCAGTTTGTATTAAAGCTTCAATTTTGAAAGTTTCTCATTGTTTTGTTTCTTTTTTTGTTTGTTTGTTTTCCTCTCCCCAGCCTCAGGCGGCAGTATCAACCTCTCAGTCTTCAGAGGCTGCAGTACCTGATTGATTTGGGCAGAGTGGACCCCACGCAGCCGATTGACTTAACGCAGCTCACCAACGCCAGAGGTGTAACCGTGCAACCGCTCAAAAGGGATTACGGTGTCCAGCTGGTGGAGGAGGTACGTGTACAAGACACTTGGTACTTCAGGCACTATAAAGCCTTGGATTTTCAATTTTTCCATACCAGGCTGGTTTGGAAGCATCTTGGCTTTTATAAATTTGCTGTGGGATTTTTGTGGCAATAAATCCACTAGAGGGCACTGTGTGTCAGCAAAAAAAACCCAAACAAATAACCAGGATAGTGTTTTAAAATGTCAGAGACTACAAAAATAATAGTTAAGGGGCACATAACAAGAGGTCAAACAGGTATTTTACAACAGAAGACTTGAATGTACTGAAAGAAATGTATTAATATCACGGAGAGGCAAACTTTTTTCATTCAACTGAGATCACAGAATCATAGAATCGTCTAGGTTGGAAGAGACCCTTGGGATCATCGAGTCCAACCATCTACCCTACTCTACAAAGTCCTCCCCTACACCATGTCCCTTAGCACTGCATCTAAACGGCCCTTAAACACAGCCAGGGATGGTGACTCCACCACCTCACCCATCCTGGTGCAGGGAACAGCCAAATCATAATATTTTGTGGGATTTAATGTTTCTTGCAACTTTGCAGAGAAGAATACATGTATGTCCAAAAATACTCATTTTAATGTTACTCTGTTATGTGTTGAAATTTACAGGGTGCTGATATCTTTACAGCAAAAGTAAATATTGAGGTGCAGAGGGCATCTGAATTAGCAATTGCAACCATAGAAAAAAACGGGGGAGTTGTGACAACATCATTCTATGATCCAAGGAGTTTGGGTAAGAATTTCATTTCTGACTTTTTTTTTTTTGTTCTAATATGCAAAGATTAAATGATCCAAATCAGTTTCAAACATAGTTCTTACTGGAAGATCATCCACCACTTCTATTTTAAAAGCTTCAACAACACATTGTTATACAACTGTTGAACTGTGGGGCCTCTTCAGCTTTCCTTTTTTTCAGCCATTCATGTGTTTAGCCCTACCAGTGTTAGTAGCCATTTACCAATCAGCCATTTAAAGAAATCCAAGTAGCTTTGTAAATAGAAGAACAAATAAAAGATTGTTTCTTTGAATTTTTGTCTTCTAACTTTCTTATGTGTTTAATAACCCTAAGAAAATTCAGGGGAAACCCCTAAATTTGAAAGACGCTATGGATGTTTATATTTTTAATGTAAAATATTTTTCCAATTAAAGTGAGGAAATAACTAAGTTACAGAAGCTCAGAATCGTTCCAGTTAAAATGGCTATTGTTTTCAGAGCACTTTCACTGGAGAATGAGGCTTTGCTTTGCTTGAGGCTGCATCCTGCCTAATATTCATTCATGCAGTTTTTATTGACAATAATGGAGCTTTCATGTGTGAATGAGGCTGAGAACAAGAGGAATAGACATTTTTTTGTGCCCAACATATGTTACTCTGGAGTGATACAATTTATTTTTTTCCAATCCAGAAAATAACTGAGATATTAAGGTTAAAAGGATTTGGAATGTAATTTGCCAAACTCAGTAAAACTTGAGGAGGAAACAGTAGTCTCATTTAGTAGATGACTAAATCTCTTTAGTAGGTGACTAAATAGGTGCACATGCCATTGGTTCTTTATTTAAAATACTTCTAGAAACACTAAATTTGACATTTGTTGGTACGCTGTGTAAATATCTGTGCAAAAGCATTGCTTCTAACCTGGAAGTCAGGCCTTTAAATAAATGGTGGTGTCTAGCTTAGTTACTGTATCTTTCCGAGGTAGGCATTCCAAATGTGTTAGAAGTAATGATTCCTTCAGGCTGTCACTAATAAATATCAGTTAAAACAGAATTGTTTGTTTGGTTAAGTGAAACTTGTAAAACACTGTCTCATTCTGAAGAAGAATATTCTTAAGATCTGTTTATTTTGCTTGGTACTTTTTAATAATTTATTTAGTACAAAATGTTAAATAAGGAGGTGTCATTTAATGTCTTTAAATATGTATCATAAAGGATAGTATCTCATTTTCTCTCGTGTTTGCCCACAGAAATTTTATGTAAGCCAGTAGTCTTTTTCCTGCGTGGCCAGCCCATTCCAAAGCGAATGCTTCCACCTGAAGATCTAGTCCGTTACTACACGGATGCCAGGAATCGTGGGTACCTGTCAGATCCAGCCAAGGTTGCAGAAGCCAGGCTTGAACTTGCCAAGAAATATGGTTATACCTTACCAGACATAACCAAAGATGAACTCTTCAAAATGTTAAGCATGCGCAAGGATCCTAGACAGATATTTTTTGGTCTTGCTCCAGGATGGATCGTAAACATGGCAGACAAGAAAATTCTAAAACCAACTGATGAGAAGCTGTTAAAATACTATAGTTCATGAATTCAGAACTGGAGACAACTGCAGGTGCACAGGAAACATCTGGGTATGAAATAATGGATACAGAGTGGTGTTTGTTTTTTTTTAAGACTCCTGTTACACTAGACAAAACATAAATTTTTGTTTATGTAATCTTCTGTGGAGCTCTCAACTTCTTTATTGTCATAATACTGTGTATGAGAAGTCTTAACATTTGGAAACAGTGTAGAGCAACATAAAGTGTGTGTTTGGGCACTTTCTCTTGTGATGATTTGCCAGTTATTTTTTCAGACAAAATATTTGATGTTGCATTTATTTCAGAGGATGATTCCAAAGAGCAACTTGACCTAATAATTAGTTCCTATTTGTTCCCCCTGTCAGTTCTAAACTGGAAACGTGGCTGTACAGAACTAATATTATTTTTACATTCATGCTGCGTAGCATTATATTTTATGTTTTAGAAAATGGTATCTTGAATACTGTTAAGAGGTATTTCCCCCATCTATTTTTGAATGGGGGAAAATTAAAAGCAACCAGAAATAACAAAATACAGAAGAATTCATTAACCTCTTCGATTCCGTAGCAATGTTTGGGGTTTTGCCACTGTCATCAGTAGCACTAGAGCTTGAAAGGTCTTGATCTTTGTCTTGTTCCTTCAGACGGAATTGAGAAAGACAGGATGTGCAGTTTAAAAGAACTTTCTAGCTAAATTTTATTTTAAAAAAAGCTAGCTATGTCAAATCAATGGCCTTTATAATTCAGACACAAATGTAATGTCACTGATAAAAATGTGCAGCAGAATCCGGAGTCAGTGAATATTAGGCAGTGACAGTGGATTGTCAGGGATGGGGATGTGATGAACAATTAAGGTTTGGTTTTCAGCTCGATCAGATTGCATATGTGCCAGTGGACAAGTGAATTTAGATGTTGTGAAAAGTTATGAACAAATAATTTTTATGGGAAGCAGTATTTTAATCACACCCAACTTGATATGATCTTGAAAAATACTTTCATCAGTCTGTCCAAAATACTATATTTCTACTATGCAAGATTGTTCAAGGCTTCATAGGGAACCTTAGGGTTAGGCTTTTGGGATGATGAACCAAGCAAGAAATTGAAAGATGAGAGAGGAGACTAAGTTAATCTGTCAGTCATAAATTAATGGGATGCTTCATATTTACGTGAACTTTATTGGAAGCCGAATTTGGTTTTAAAGTAGGGATAATTTGGTTATTAGGATGTAGGAAACAGACGGGAAGAACAGAGCACGAGTAAGTCTTGCTTTCCAATTTTCATTTGCCTTTGGAAATGCTACTTAGAGTTTCCCAGGAAACAGACGGGAAGAACAGAACACAAGAGTAAGTCTTGCTTTCCAATTTTCGTTTGCCTTTGGAAATGCTACTTAGAGTTTCCTGTAGCTGCCAAACCATCCTCTCCTAGGGGAAGCCCTCTTTATGCCAGAATCTCCTGCTTCTGTTGTGTAACACCTGTATTTCACTTTTATGCCTCAAGGTGTGGGGGGAATAAAAAAAATAAATTTAAGAATATATTCTTTTTTTTTTTCAGAGAATAACAAGAAATGGACGAAAATATCTTCTTTTTTTTTCAGAGAATAACAAGAAATGGACGAATTTTTTTGTTGGTGTTTGTCAACCAGGCCAGATTTTCCCTTCACTCAACAAACTGCCCTGTCAATTAATGTGAGCATCTGTAATGACAAGACAAAATAAAACAAGTCTTCTATTCTCATGATGATTAAATGGTCTGAAATACAGAGAATAACAATGGAAAGTCACTAATTTTTGACAACTTACTCTCCAGCTTCTATTGTCTGTTGTTAATGTGTGTTAGATGCTATCAGTAATGGTCGTTCTCCTGACCTGTGGTTTAAGTATAGGTGAAACACAGCAAAACACTACCAGTATAATATTGGATTGTGAATAGCAGGAATTTGCTCTTGGTGGTGTTAACATTCATGTTTTATAAGGTGCACAACACTTTTTTGGCACATTAAGAATAATACCGTGTACCAAAAAAAGTATAGCTAGTGTTAACTTGAATGTGAAGTAAATAACTTTCTCACTTTAGATGTATCCTGTTCTGCATCCTGATGATTGTTGGTTTGGAAACTTAAATGACAAGCAATACTTTTTTTTTTTAAAGTTTTTTTTTTTCTTTTTGTTATTACAATACTACTGCCTCCATTTGGGAAGGAGTTGGAGGGGGGGAAGAGTATTTATTGCCTTCCCTTATTTGTGCCATAATGTTTCTGTTTTTATGAATCGATTCACAATTGTATTTTGTGGAGGTGGTGGTACTCAACAGGAAAGCTACTTAACTGGAAGCAAAGAAGGAAGTTAGTCATATTAGTGAAGACCAGAAGACAAAAGTGTTTATGTATCATTGTGTATTTTGGGGAGGAGAAAAGGGGGGGAAGGCAACTTTGTTTCCACTCCTGCTCTTTGTATTAAAATGAACAAACTGCTCTCAGCAATTTTTTTTTTTTTTTCCTAAATCAACTTCTTTGATATACGCACGCGTGCACGCGCTGGTTTCTGTAGGTTTCTAAATGATTTTCAGGTGAAAGGGTAACTTGGATAAAATGATAACAGCAAAAGAAAGAATGAAAACAGGAAACAGATGTCTGGTGACGTCGGGGGGTTGGATAGCACTTATTCAGTGGCCGATGTCTTAGTCACAAGGCAGCTGTATCCTGGCTCTGATACTATAAGGCTACAAATACCTCGGAGCCAAAACAGCCACGTTCCACAGAATCCGGTCATTCTACTTCATAAAGGTGATCTTTTATCATCTTATAATTGGAGAGGGCAAAAAGGGCTGTATGTTGCTTTATTTAAAATATGCAATGCTTGTCTTTTTTTTTCTCTCTTCTGTTTACAGTAGCTAGTATTTTATAATGGTTGTTCTGATTTTTATTTACTAGTGAAAAAAAGTGACAAGGCTATAGAGGATTTCCTGTTCATTTTATCTCGTCAGGAACACAAGTCTCCTGGCAACTGAATACAGAATTATCAAAAGCACAAGTAAGTTATTGACAAGGTTTCTAATAAATCTGTAATAAACAGCCTCCCAATGGGCTGTTGTTTATATGAGGGTCAGGCTCAGTGATGCAAGATTCTTAAGCCAGCGCTGGCATCTTAAGGCCATTCTTTTTACTTAGGAACACGTACCATGTTTTCATGTTCATAAGATAAATGATTGCCTTGGATATCCTGTTTTGATAGGGGTTTTTCATATGCAACAATGTATTACACAGCAAGGAGCACCCAATCTGCTGTAACCGGAAAAGCACTATGAAGTAGTTGAGGAAAAGAAATGTTATTTGTGCCATAAAATACCAAAAGCCGTGTCAATTTTTATCAACAACATCATAATTTTGAACGGTTCCTGGGTAAAACTGATTACATATGTGAGACCGAGATAAAAATAAAGGCCTCTGAACCAGTTCATACCTTGTTATATCATACACTGATAATTAGAAATCACCCTTTCTTATGAAATTGAGTGGCTGCTGTTGGTAGCCTGTACTGTCTTTACAGGTGGCTGGCTGCAGACTCAAAATGAAGCAAGTTAAAATAAATGCATTTTCCCTTTTACTGATATGTACAGCAAAGACGCGCTGACTTTTAACTCATACTTCATAGTATAGTATTCATGTTTAACAACCAAAAGTTGACTGTACCATTCATTGATTTCTCAAAAGGAATAAATGAATAAATCAGTGGCCCTGATCTGAATCCTCGCTGGCAGTGTGCCAACATTGTTTTGACATACGAGCATAATTGATGTTGGTGCTCCAGGAAGTCATATAAAAGTGGTCAGGTATGAAGATAGCTTCCCATTGCTATTTTATTCTTTTCTATTTTATAGCAAAAGTTTAACATGCTAATGCAAAGCTAATTTTGCACTGTTGAACGCTCACAAGTTCTGTAAAAATTTGAAATTGTTGCAGGAGTTTTGTATTTTAAATATTTAAGTGTTATATTTACATATATCTGAAGTAAGAAAGATGCTGTGTCTGTCCAAAATGGCCAGTTTAATATTTCATATGCAGATTTATTTCTCAAAAATTTCTTGGTGATCATATGGCAATAGTTTTACATGACTTGCAGTCTGCATTTCAGCTTATTGTGTTACAGTTTAGTCTGTGAAAAGATGTAGTTATAAGTCCTGGTGTGACAAAATTCTTATCCAGTAGGAAAATTCTGAACTTCTTAAGCTCCTTCATCTCCTAGCCCAGGTATCCCATCTTGGTCTTTTGTAGCAGAACTATATGGCATTGTCTAAAGAATTACTGGTTTCTCAGTGGAAGCAAACTATCCTCAGATCTATTCTGTCTCCTTTGCTTAATATTCCCTCTGTTGCATCTGCATCTTCCCAAGGTCTCTTCTCACTTCTCCCCTTGCAGTGGTGGGAACTGCAGGGCTCAATCATTCTCACAGTGTCATCCTGTCTGGCCCACTCTGGGTTTGAAAATCTGGTTGTTTTATGTGCCTCTGGAGCAGGAAAAGTGTTGATCATTCCTGCATCTGTTTATACGAGAGGGTTTTTCATGGCTTGAGTTTCCTGGACTGGTGTTGCTTTTGTTGTTAAAAATGTCAACAGCGATGTTGTTTACTTGTTAACCTTGTAGACTCCAAGGCACACGCTGACTGAGTTGAGGGGCATTTGAGCAATGCATTTGGAGTTTATTCAGAGTCAAGGAATGCTCCTGGAAGGGTGTCTGTGCACTTAACTCAGAATTACATGCACTAGATACAAGTCTTAATGGATAAGCAATTTTGCACTCAATGCATCAATGCCCAAATCAGTCTCTCCTCGCACCTTTGGAAACCCAGCCTCTGTACAGTTCATTCTAGTTCCACGATAGGATTGCCTTGTCTGCTCTAAATAAGGGCAAGGGAGATGCCTTCTTTGTTGAATGTGGCAGTGGTTCAGAGTTTCAAAAGTTGGAATCCAAGTTCCTTGTAAATTTACTATAGTGAGGTATTGTCTCAATTTCAAAATTCATGCAAGTCTAAATTTACATCACACGTAGACAGTTGTTTAAGCTCATCAATGCATCAACACCCAAATCAGTCTCTCCTCGCACCTTTGGAAACCCAGCCTCTGTACAGTTCATTCTAGTTCCACGATAGGATTGCCTTGTCTGCTCTAAATAAGGGCAAGGGAGATGCCTTCTTTGTTGAATGTAGCAGTGGTTCAGAGCTTCAAAAGTTGGAATCCAAGTTCCTTGTAAATTTACTATAGTGAGGTATTGTCTCAATTTCAAAATTCATGCAAGTCTAAATTTACATCACACGTAGACAGTTGTTTAAGCTCATTTAATAGCCAGTAGAAATCTGATTGATAGAGTCATGTTACTCACACGTTTAAGCTCATTTTATAGCCAGTAGAAATCTGATTGATAGAGTCAGTGGAGCCTGGTAAATCACTGTGTTCAGCCTGAAGCAGAATATCTAAGCAACTAAATTGGACTTCAGGCTCTCCAGACTGACTGTAGTTTTAACATATACATAACACCTGTATATACCTAAAATGTAAGTATCTGGAACTGAATTATCATAGAACCATAGAATGGTTGGGGTTGGAAGGGACCTCAAAGATCATCAAGTTCCAACCCCCCTGCCATGGGCAGGGACACCTCCCACCAGACCAGGTTGCTCCAAGCCCCATCCAGCCTGGCCTTGAACACTTCCAGGGATGGGGCAGCCACAGCTTCCCTGGGCAACCTGTTCCAAATTCAACTCTGTTTTCAGTGGCCCAAGATGCTTGAAGGTAAGGGTGGGTTGGAAGATCTTGTGGATCATGATTCCCCAGTGTGGATTGCCTAGCTCAGCACTGGGAACTTCTCAAGTTTGATGTGCTAGGTTGTGTTTGTCTTTGAAAATAAGTATGCTAATTTAATAAAAGACAAGTCAGGGCGACATCTTGGTGCCACGAGAGGTGAAGTGCTGGCAATTAGATGATCTGTGTTATTTTACAACTGTTGGAAGGTGCAGAAATTGTTGGTATCCTCACCTAGAAACCTCTGATTCTTTCAAGGTGGATACCTCCCAGTTCACAGCTCTGCACTCATACTGCCATTCAAAATTTGTCTACCTGCCTTACATGTAATACTTTGCTGATGGTTGTGCCAACTTGATGCATTTCCTCTGCAAGCAAAGCATGGAAATTAAAGTTGTTTGGACTGGGAAATTAGGAAAAAATTGGAGAGGAGGGCAGTGTCCCTCTGAGGTGTCTCCTTCAGCAAGCACTGCTTGTAATGGTCAGAGAAGGGGACTGAGCTACTTGTCTCACAGCCCCCTGGGACCATGCAGACCCCTGTGCCTCTTAGGGCCCCCCTACTGCTGTGATGAGTTGTGTGTGTATAAAAGAGATTTGGGACTGATCCTTCTACACATTTTGACTTGCCGTTTATCCTATTTTCAGTGATTCTGGGTCCCTCATACCTCATAGGCATGTTTGGTTTTTACCGTGTAGGCAATCATTTATCCCCCTTTTTTATTTGGTTGTTGTTTTTTGTTTTGTTTTTGGCAAGGCACTGCCCTAATCACCACAGCAGGCAGTCTGGGTATGGGCAGTGTACTAGGTTTGAGACAGTTCCAGTCAAAATATTATTCTACTTGTTTTCTGTTGGGTTTGGCTGGCTCAACATTGCTGCTGCCCTGCCGTCTAGGACTTGTGAAATGTCTGGGCTAACTGATTTTGTTGTTGGGTTTTGTTGTTATTGTTGTTACTGGAAAGCTCCAGCCCTTCCAGGTTCGTTATTAAAGACAGGTGTTTATTGTGGAATGATCATGAAATGAATTACTGTCAGGAGGATGTGAACGCGCTGCAAAATTGTACCTGGGTTAGTTTTTATGCACTTATATTTGTATGTATTTGAGGGAATCAAAGCACAGGGATGCTATGATTTCTGTCTTTAGTTATTATGGAAAAGCTTATCTGCCCAATAAGAGAACCTAAGAAGAAAATGGGGGGTAAAAAGCTGTCAACTCATCTTTTTGCTGCATATTGTGAAAAGTGCATGTTTTGCTAGTTTGAACTGTTGCCCTCAGCGGAGCTGGATGACTTTGCTTGCAGCGTATCAGGAAACTGCAATGGCAGCAGACTGCTATGGGCAATGACTTCCAGCTGTGGTGCTGCAGTTGGCCATAGCAAAAGAAAAGATAATCTCTGCAGGCTTGGGAACGTGAGAATCAAGGTATGAAAGTCTCCATCTGAAAAGATTCCAAAATCAGAAACATAAAAACATTCTGCAAACACTGCTGAAACTCTGCTGCACGTTTAATTACTCCTTGTTTTTGCTGACTGTACTGTTACGAAGTATTCAAGAAATCATTTAAAGAATACATTTTAGGTTTTCTTTGTTGTCCTTAGAGTTTTCAGCCCTGCAGGGATCTTGTTTCCAAGCATTGTTCCTGCATCCAGCGAGCCTAGAAGCAAATTTAAGTGGGAGCCAGCATTTTC